TCAAAACAATTAAATAATAAACCATACCACATCACCCCGTTGTTACACCTCCGTGGTCATTATTTTTGTTTTCTTTATGTTCAGTGGCAAACTTGCCTTTGCACTTTCTTTCACTGACACTGATAAACCCCTTATTACTGGTACATGACAAGACCCAAGATTTTTGCAACAGACTTGACTGCAGGGGAGGCTTCCATGGAAATGGTGCAATGAAATCTGTTCTGGATTTATTCCAGACTTTAAAGGGCCCATATAAAGTGCTAAAGCTACTTCAATAACCCTTTAGAGTCTGGATTTAAAGCTTTAGTTTAGTAGATTCACCACACCAAAGACTTGGAAACCATCAGCATGCCAGCAAGTCAGACAGCGGTCATGCCTATGAGTGCCGCTCCTTTTATAGACTTCCATAGAATTAAATTGGGATTACTCACTCTTATGGGAGAGACTGAATGGGTTGTTCAACGTTTTGCTAAGAAAGTCAAGGGAGTTTATCAATTTGGAAGAGTGGAACTTGAGTCTTAGCTTGGCAGAAGATCTGAGGATATCCTCCCCCATCACCCCCAAACTTCACTTTAATGGGAAATGACACAGTGTGGAACCAGAACTGCCAAAGCTCAAAACACAGTTGTTGAGTATGATAAGAATGACAACTTATAAAGGAAGCGAGTTAATGATGTGATGCCTTGTTGAGCAGGTCTTGTCAAGCCTCATTAGATTTTAGAGAGTTATCAGAGACAGTGTAATTATCACAGGCACTAAAATGGCTGTATTAAAAGATAAAAGTGAATATGATAGAAAAATAATTAAATGATTAATAGGGCATTAATTCAGAGATGGCTCTTGCATTGGTGAGCTTCAGCCAGGATTATGGGGGCTTAAAACAACCACGGGATCCATTTCAATTGGGGTGACACAAAAAGTGGTATTAGGGGAAGTTAGATCCACATCAAAGGGAATTGTGAATGTAGAATCAGCATCTTACATTAATAAGGACACTGCGAGGACACTGCACACATAGATTTGAAATTTGAGAAATTTGAGCATTCTGAAATTCGAGCTGGTTTCAATGTAAAGTACACAGTTTTTTCAACCACAAGATTAATTCTGCCAAGATTTGAGGTATGCAGTCCAGAATAGTATTATTTTTTTCTAAACGCTGCATGATACTTGAAGTAAAGTGTACAAGTTATAGGGATTGGAGTTCCAGTAACTAATGGGAATCGCTTAATTTCAGAACCACCAATAGTTTGAGGAAGGACTGGCCTGGAGGCAGAGATGGGGAGGGGCAGCCGCATGCCAGCTGCCTCAACCCCACGCGGAGAATGTCCTGATGCCGCGCGCCATATGTAACCGCGTGGCATCAGGACATCCTTCTGGCACAGCATTTTGACACGCTGTGCCGGAAGGCGCGCTAAAGAGCCATCCACTGGCTCTCGGGCAGCCTTTTTTCACCCGTAAAAGGAGCGGTATTTTGCTGCTCTTTTCCGGGTGGCAAAAGGGAGGATCGGGCCCACGCAGTCCGGCAGCCTCGGCCCCGATCCAATGGTTACCAGCGCGGCTCTCTGCCGCCCCTTTGGGCCCGTCTGTAGAGGCCCTTAGTCTTCTTTGTAGCTATAAACTCTGCTAGCAAGTGGACTCTTCTGCAGGCAATTGGAAATAGTCTGTGTTCATCCCCATAGAAATAGAAATAGACTGAGTGATGCATCATTGCTATGCTTGTATTGGCACTCATGTTTAAAACTGAGCTTGGTATTCCACTTTAAGGCCTTGTTCCCACTATGATTTAAAATGAATTGCTGATCAGGTTATATGTCTGTCGTTCCCACTTGAAACCAGTTCCTAACTGACTGCACTTGGTTTCAATCGTGATGAAGCAAGGCAAATGCAAAAGAACTGCTCTTTTCTGACAGTAGTTTTTTGGTGGTTCTTTTGAAAAGAAGTGATTAGCAAGCATGTTCAGCAAGTGGGAACGAAGGACTTGAATTGCATCAAACTGAAGGGGAGGAATTATTGTGGCAGAGGGTTGGCACATCCCTCACCAGTTTTTTGGGAAATCTGCCATTTCCCCCTCCCCTTTCCCAGGACCCATCCTACATTCCAAGTCCTGCAAGGCTGGGAGGGCAGTACCACATCCAGGGGAGAGTCCTCCATATGACACCCATGGCTGAGGCATCCCAGGGGACTTGAAGGACATGGGGAGTTGAAGTGGTGACCTTCCAGCCTTACAGTACTTGGAGGAAATGCTTTCTAGTCAAGCTCAGAATGGAGGGCGTTTTGGAATTCCTCCTGGACAGAAGATTGGAATGTAGGATGGGTCTTGGGAGGGGGGAAATGGCAGATTTCCCCCAAAACTAGTAAGGGATGGGATACTAGTGAGGGATGGGATTCTGGCCACGGCACCTATGACTTCCTCCTCTGTTTTTTTTAATGTGTTGCTGATTGCATCACCGATGAAGCGTAGATGGTTGACTGGCATTTTGAAGGGGCACAAACTAGTCGTACCAAAAAAAAAAAAAAAAATGAATAAAGAAAAGACCTGCTTCTATAGTGGGAGTGATGCATGGACTGGAATCGATTCACCAATCAAGAGTGAAAGTGAATTGCAAACCGGGTTAAATGTAAGTGGGAGTGAGCCCTAAACTTACAAAATCAATACAGGGTGTTTTGAAACAAACAAACAAGATTTGGCATTCACAGAATGGCTTCACTCTACACTTGTGAGGTTCTACAAATATAAAAAGCACTGCCGGTAGAAAGAGATTATGGGACTGTGGGGCTATGCAGATGGGCAAAAAGGGGTGCTTTAAGGGTGACTTGTAGGTGTGGCCTATAGATGATGCATGCCTAAAAGTCTCCAGGAAAGTACCCCCTAGCTGTCGTATGCTGAGAAAAGCCACTCCAAAAAGGAGCCGCTTTTTTCGCTCCTTCAGTGAAGATGCGCACCTTTGCATGTATGTATGTATGCAGCGACACTGATGCATCAGAAAACGTCTGTATAAATGCACTGTTGCATGTGCGGTGGAAATTGACTCAGCGATCCAGAGCATGCGCCCTACGATACAAGCTTTAATTTAAAGCACTCTATGTATCTAGGTGTGGATGCACTGACGCAGTTACACTTGAATATTAGAACCCTAACCCTAATTGTAACCTACCATGCACCCTAGCAACTGTCCTCTGTTATGACTAAAAATGCATTCTGTTGCATGTACGCTTGCTGTCAGCATGCACAGCAGTTTGCATGAAAGAGGCTTTTGTGACCTCTTCTGTGCAGGTATGCAGGTGTCCATAAGACCTGCACACCACTTCATGGCATGCTTGCGGGGGAGCTCCTAGAGTAACATTTGTCCATGTGTTGTGTCCTGTTGACCATGTCCCTTGCGTGACCACCAGCTGCATGTATCAAGTCTGTCCACACAAACCTCCCTTGCGTGTACCTCTCCTCTCCCCCCTGATCTGTGTGGGACATGTTTTGTGGAAGACGATGGAGTAGGTGT